AGATACCTGAAGCATTCAAGAGGATTGTCCATATTTAGCATCTGGATCAAATCATTTTCTTAAATCTGCAATAACAGAAAAGAACATAGAACAAAGCAGTCAATACTTCCGGAATTCAGAAAATCATAGCATTGAGGTTCCAAATTCTCCACTACTTTTTGTGAAGAAATAATGATTAAATTTCTAGAAAACAAAAACCAGACTAAAAACAGAAACATGAGTGAGATTCTAGAAAAGAGGGAAACTGGATAGAAAAAAGAATCAGAGGCATACCGCTAATGTAGATGGTGTGATGTAGAAGAGTGAGGTCTTTGAGAAAGAGAGAGCAGAGAGAGCGAGCAAGAGTCTGAGACAAAGAGACAAGAACAAAAAACAAGATGAAAGAAAGTTCAGTTTTTTTATCATCAAACAACAAAAGAGAGGTGAACAAGGAATGGAAAACAAACAGAGCAGAAAGAGCAAGAGAGCCTCTGTGGAGCAGAGAGCAATCTAGAGTGATTGAGTAGATAACCGATGAAGACTAAAGATGTTGTGAAGAGGGGGAATGTAAGTGTTTATTATCAGGGAGTTGAGAGTCAGTTGAGGTAACTTTACACTGGGAGCTTGATCCAGTGTCGGCGAGCGTAGGAGTTGAGGAGCGTAAGAGTTGAGTTCTTGGATGAGCCTTGTCGTGGCGAGCTTGAGTGAGCGGGCGAGTCTTGACGAGGTTGAGGAAAGAAGAAGAGGAACGTGAGTCGAGTGTTTTTCTCTCAGTTGATATCAAAACCCTAACCGTTTGAGGGGTTTAGGTTTGCGACTCTCTTCGCTCTGGGGTTGAGCTCCGCAGTCTTTTTCACATGAGTTTCACCGATATTTCAACATTTTGAATCCTGTGATTTTTCTCCAAGCAAAATATCTGCTGATAGAAATAAAATTATAGCAACAGATATTCAAGAAAGCTCACCTCATGCAGAAGGTGATCCAGGCCATCATGAGACTCGGGAAAACCAAAATCCAGAATTTTTTTCCTCCAATGGATTGCTATCAAATACAAGAGCTGATTGGATTGAAGAAATCAAACAAAATGAGATACTTGGAAGTCATTACTTTGAGTTCTTGAACATGAATTTTGTACCTGATGGGATGATAGATGAAGAACTCTTGGAAGGCCATGTGAGCAAGTTCTCAGAGCGCATGAAAACTATGAGCAAAAGAATTCAAGGGTTACATAGAAATTGGAGAGATTATGTGATGAAGGATTCTCCTTCTTTAAAAGTTCCTATTTTTGGAACAGACAATTTCTTTATTCAGGTTATTGGTGAGATAAGGGGGGCAAGTCAAACACATTATTTTCAAATAATGAATTTGAAAAATATCATGAAGTGTCTAATAATCATAAATTCTGCACTATCAAGAGAATTCAACAAGTATGGATCAGAATTAGATGTATTATCATCAAACACAGAGCTGTTAGATTGGTTGTTTGATCAAGCATTTGAACCCAAAAACAGCTTTCCTGTTTTTGGAATAGTTTCAAACAAACAGCTTTTGGATCCAGGAAAAGAGTTTGGAATGATTCAAAAGATTTTACTTGATCAACTATCAAAGCACAAAGCTAATCAGTATTCTCTTGAGGCTTCCATCCTAATTATTAGCTTGTGGTACAAAGCCTACAAACCTGATTTTTGGGAACACATCAAAAAACATCAGGATGGTTTTAGTCCAGAAATAAATATGATTTCAGTTCTATTCAAAGCCATTCATTCAGGTACTAATTTTAATAAACAAAATAACAAGTTTAAAGACTTTAGTGGATTAGGCACCAATATCCCAGGTAACTTGAAAAAACCATCTTTAAGAAAACTTCCAGCCTCAATGAAGCCTGAAAGGTGGGATACAAGGAATTATGAAGGATCAATAAAATCAATCCATGCATTGTCAAAAATTGACATATCTCAGTTTCACAAAAATATTAATGTAGATGTTGAAGGTCTACCAGTCAAAATGAAGAAATTCAAGACAAACACCAATCTGAAAGTTTCAAGATATAGGGTAAGAATTCATGATTCAGAATCAAATGATGGTTCTTACATAGTTAGACTTGAATCAAAGGTTAAACTCCTGGAAAGACATTTGCAAATATGTCACAGAGAGCTCCTTTCTCAACTTGAATTAAAAGGAAAGAAATTGGATGGAAATTCATTGATCAATTTGTTCAATGAATGGTTTTCAAAAATAATCCTTGGAAAAGAAGGAGGACCCTTCCCAATCATTGGAGATTTTGAGAGTGAAAAAGATGAATTTAAATTCACAGACTTTGGTGAAGCTCAATTATACTTGATAAAAGAATACTTTAGTGATAAAATTGGATTTTCCAAGGCTGTATGGGTTTCACTTGCCCTTCTTGAGTATTGGTACAGGAACTTTCAGAATCCTGCAAATTTTTTCCTAACTGATAATGAATACTGGAATACTATGATTGGATCTTTAGGAAAGAAAATGTCTTGTTCAGGTCGCTATTCTTTGAAAAACTTTGACAAGAAAGGAATCTATTCATCATACCATTTCATACATATAAGAAGACCCAGGTTTTACAAAAAAAAACAAGAACTGATCAAAGAGGTTCAAACTTGAAAAAATTGTGATTTTTTTCCAAATCTTTCTTAAAATCAAACCAAAAATTAAATGGATTTTCAGAAATAAAAAATCAAGAAAAACTTAGTATTAGTCATGTTTTATAAAATTGGTATCATTTTTCTTCATAATTGTTTCATTCTTACATCCTTAAATCATCCTTCCATCCTTATATCATTTTTCAATCCTTATATCATTCTTCCATCCTTGCATCATTCTTCCATCCTTGCATCATTCTTCCATCCTTATATCATTCTTCCATCCTTGTGAGTGTCTCTGATCCCACAGTTCCCAAGTCCATGTATTTGTACTCAGTGCCTGGCTTTATGCCACCTGTTTGTGATTGGGCAGGTTTAAAAAATGGTTACAAACCTTAGCCTTCATATAAGTATTGAATTGTACAGCTTCCAAGAATCTCAAATCTATCATCTAAATCATGTCTTACCTACCATCCATGCATGTTAACATCTGTCCTGTGTGAGATATTGAATGTTTCTGGTAGGTCTGAACAGTGAGATGGCTTACACAAATGCAAAATATATCAAATAAAGTCTGGATAGATTGGCTATATGATCAGCCATTTAAACCAAAAAAAGGGTTCCCTGTCTATGCACCAGAAGTTCTAAATAAATGGATTTGGATCCCACTAGAAAAGAGTTTGATTTGATTCAGAAAATATCACTTGATCAACAGATCTCAAGGTATCACCCCCAAAGCCCTTCATCTTTCTTATTGGATCATGGTACAAACGTTTTGAGCCTAATGTTTGGACATACATGATCCAGAAATACCAGGATGGGGGATACCAGAAAGAAAAATATTCTATTAATATTGTATAAACCAATTGAGTTAAAGGAATCACAGTGGATTGAGGCAAGTGAAATCATGCAGATTTGGATAGCTCATTAACCAAATAGGAAACCCCATGTCTGAACAAACTATCAATAACAATGAAGCCTTGAAGATGTGTTATAACCAGTCACATAAGAGGCCTCAGCCTCATGCCCATCTGTTCAGATATTGATAGGAATGTAAGACAAGAACCTTTTCATGTTGGGAGTCTCCCAGTAAAAATGTGGAAATTCAATGAAATATCTGCCAATAAGCTCGCAATATTTAGAGTAAGAAATTGTGGAAAGAAATGAACCCTTCTGCTGTGTGAAAGGTTTCTTAAGAAAGTTTCATCTACTGAATCCCATTTTCAGATGTGCCACAGAGACCAACTTTACTGTAAAGCTGATCTAGATCTTGCTTGCTCTACTGTAGTTTTGCATCCAAGATGCTTTTCCCCAACAGACAAGGATCAAGACTAGGAAAGCATGATTAAATCTGTACTAACCAAGCTATCTGATGAGGACCTCTCTTGTTTGAAAAACTTAGAAAAAGCAAGCATTGTCGTTGATACAAGTTGATTGTTCAAGTTGGCAGATGCATGAACAAGGTACTGATGGCATGCTTTGATCTTCTTTTTTCTATAAGGGTGCAGATAGATA